AATATAAACATTTAAGTCAAACTAATTAAAAATCCACAGTGTTTGATTTTCTTTTTATTTATTTATTTTTGTTCTACCTATCTAAATCCAAAAAAAAATACAGATGTTTTAATATGTAGCGATTCCAGAAATGACAGACGTTGCCAAAGAATAAGAGATTACAGTGGCTGGAAGATCGCCTAAAAACAAAAACAATATTCTAGATATTGGTAGTGGCTACACTCAAACCCTGTTCTGCGTAACTCTGAATATTAAAGTAAGTTTGTTCACAGTAAGATCATCAGCTCTCAATGAAATGTGTCGACTTTCACTAAATAAGACAAACATTCATTCATGGTGAGAAGTGAGAAACATAATGCTCCAGGAGTTCAGGTCAGGATTTCTGGTTCCACTAAGGTCCCAAAGGGTGCACTAAGAAAATATGAAAAAGAAAAAATGTAGCCTTTTATTTATTTATTTTAAATTGTCATTTTTTTCTCAATTACTTGTTTTTATTTTAGAAATGGAAAAACCAACGTATGAACCACGTACGGATTGTAAAAGTATTTAATTGAGGATAAATGTTTTTGAATGTGCGTGTGTATGTGTTTGTTTGTTTGTTTGTTTTTTTAAGGTGGACGGTAACGTCACCGTCCTCAGTATGGCCGTTCACTTCAAGCATCTTAAACGTCTGGTGGAAGAGCCGACGTTCAGCCAGATCCTGATCCCGCTGCAGTCGGTCCTCATTCCAACGCTCCCCTCCACCGGAGGGGCCAACACGCAGCACGATGCCTTCCCTGGACACTGGGCCTACCTGGATTGCTTTGAAGACTCTGTAAGAGAAAGAAGAGCTTAAGATGTGTCTCAAGATTAATGTGTTTTAGTTGAGTTCAGTGGTTTTGTTTTCCTGAAATACACCTTGATATGTAAATTGTGTGTTTATGTATAAGTGCTTTGTGTGTGAGCTGTCCAGGTGGAGATTTTGGCGTCTTTACAGAAGCCTAAGAAGATAAGTCTGAAGGGCTCGGACGGGCAGAGTTACACCATGATGTGTAAACCTAAAGATGATCTGAGGAAAGACTGCAGGCTCATGGAGTTCAACTGTCTCATCAACAAGGTGTGCAAGACTCTAATCAATCTATTATTATTATTATTTTTGATATTACAATTGACTTCTCTGGATTTAAAAAGGCATTTTATGAACAGTTACTAGTGGTGTAACAGTCCTTGTATTCGTAGTAAACTGTCACAGTGCAGATGTTGGGCACGAGTACAGAGCAGAACATGACAAATACAACGTTAAACGTTTTATTTACCTGAAGAAGATAATCTACAAAAACGTTTTCCATCATACAAACCTGAATGGTTCAGAATCAAACACAGAAGCTTCCAGATTTGCCTGCTTGTTTATTCAAAATCAGTTTTGTGGAAAAGGTTTGCACTTGCAGAGGGATCATGGACTTAAAGGGATCCATGATTAGTTGTAACAAATGACTTTATTTAATAAACATATATTTTAACTGTAAAGATTGTAAAAAATACTGCAGAGTGTTCAGTTTTTTTTTCCATTTTTAAACTAGAAGTTTAAAAGTATATTTTAAGGACGGAGCCATTTTATTTAGACAAAGCATTCTGGGTAAATGATGACGTGGATAGGTCCACGGTGCGAGGCTGCTAGCGAGCTATATCTACCCTGAAG